CTGCGTCCACTTCTCCAACCATAGACGCTTCACTTGGAGATTCAGCCATGACACCGATAGCTCCCAGCGGAAGAAAATCCGGTGCAGATAACAAGCAGGTAACCTACGCATCGATTGCATCGACAAACACACTGGGAGCGACACACACAAGTTCATCTTCAGTACCGAGCACGCGTGGCCCAAAGCAGCTTTCACTGTCAACTCCAGTGGTGCCCTCTAAACAACTTGAATTGCCGGCAAAAAGTATAAAGCCAACACTTGCTAGACAAAACCACGCTGCGCTAACTCTCGTGTGCAACAACGTTCCCGAATCCAAATCTGGCACAATAAAAGGCAAGTTGCAAGACGATCGCAACCAGTGGAGTTCCATCTGCGAGGCGATTGGTATTCGGGTTGAGCCTGCAATGCTGCAACGCGTAGCACGTCACCTGACCTCAGTGCACTCTGGTGAACCTAGAATTCTTCGAGTAACTCTAAACTCAGCAGATGAGACAGAGGCTGTCCTGCTCTCAGAAGTTCGTCTTCGCAACTCACCGAGCGGAGTGCACATATTACATGATCTACCTTGGAAAGACCGCGCAAAAGAAGCAGTGGAGCAACGCGGTATTGCTACTAGGGATAGCAAGAAAACAATATTTGTTCATGGTGTTCCCGAGCTCCTGCATGCTTTGATCACGATACACAAACACATGACCGAGAACCGTGGTGCTACATCCGCGAAGCACTCTGTGTTAACAATGTTATTGCCAAATCCCTGACAAGAGTTCTGTCATCACATAACTACAAGGGCTGCCGTCTAAGGCTAATTAAAGTAATACTACACTCCGAGGAAATGGCGCAAATTCTGTTGGATAGCTGGTTAAAGTTTCGAGCTAGGTTGCCAACAGAAATACGGCTAAAGGCAGCAGGCGAACGACCAAAAGTCGGAAGAAATTCGATGGAACTTGCAAACCCTGCAAATTCTTTATTTGCACAGTCCTTCGGAGAGATCGGCACAACAGCGCCCACGTCACACAGGAGGACCGAGCACAGCACGAGTAAACCGTCAGTACAGGAACACTCAATAATGTCATGTAACACGACTGAAATACACAAACCAAAAAACGATTAATTGCTGGCCACCTAACGGCCGGCTTAAAAGCGAACACAAACTTGACATCGACCAATGAACTCCTAACCACAAAAGCCCTATCTTGCATGTACACAAACGCTCAAGGCCTTCGAAGCAAGTTGGCCGAACTTAGAGAACTCCATGCCTCACAACCGCGCGACCTCGTCATGATTACAGAGACATGGTTAAACCCTGAGATAACCGACTGTGAGATCAAGTTACCCGGTATGTCGCTGCTTCGGACCGATAGAACCGGAATGGGTGGCGGTGTGATTCTTTACTATAATACAAGCCTCCGATGTGAAGTTATCGATCACTCGGAAATCCGAGCTCCCGATTCGCTTTGGTGCCGCCTTTGGTTGCGAAACCAGGACACATGTCTACTAGCCGCGGTTTATCGCCCGCCAAACTCAACGTCGGAAATGGACTCCAAACTGTACCACGTTTTTCAGTTTGCTTTGAACAAGTCCTACACCCACATTCTTATCGCGGGAGACTTTAACGTGCACGACATAGAAACGCCGGCAACTGACGGTACGCAGTTTAAAGCCTGTTTGCAAGAACTTATTGCTAGCCACCCTCTTTACAACCACGTAACCTCTCCCACCAGATTTCGAACTTCTAACAAGCCGTCCATACTAGATCTTGTGCTAACTAACGAAGAACTCATGGTTGGCGGGATAGTTACAAGCACACCACTGGGTCGTAGTGATCATGTCACTCTACTCTTTGATTATATATGCTATGCCGAGTACCCGGAAAAGGAGGAGGATAAAGTGCACACTGTCACGCACTACAATGTGTTGTCCAAGCTTGTTAAGGATACATCTTGGAATTTCTTATTCGAATGCCCCCCAGATTTGGCCTGGGATATGTTTACAAGGACTTTGAGCACACTGGTAGCGCAAGCATCGGAACAGAAGTCCTTCCAACCCAAAAACCAGAGTAAGTCATTTCTGAGGAGCAGAACACGTAAATGTATGTCCCGGAGGGATTTGGCATGGCGAAATCACCAGGGTTGCCCGAATGCTGAAACCTGGACTGCATACGTGACACATCGTAACTTCTGTGTGAAACTGATCCGCGAAGACAAGGTCACGCATCAGCAGAAGTTAATGAAGCGATTCTGCACTAACCACAAACTCCTGTATAGGCACATTAACGGCCTTCGAAAGGTAAAGCGAGGGGTCCCGTCGCTAGTCACGGCTGATGGATACACGCGGTCAGCAATGGAAGCAGCTGATCTCCTACGGCTTCATTACTCTCAAACGTTCCAACAAGTGTCGAGCCCAAACATTCACCTCATTTCTAATACTCCACCATCTGGTTTAGAAAACATCACCTTCACTACGGAGGCTGTGTTGAAGAAGTTGTTATCCTTGCGTATCCACAGTTCTCCCGGAGCTGATAACATCCGACCAAAGACTCTACAGGCAGTAGCTAGTGATCTAGCAGAACCACTGGCTGTTTTCTATCAGCGATGTCTAGAGGAAAACCTTATTCCACCAGTATGGAAGCAAGGGGTCATCACTCCTATCCATAAAGGAGGTAGCCACACTGATCCTGCAAACTACCGTCCAATAACATTACTTCCCGTACTATCCAAAGTGATGGAATCAATCGTCGCAGACGCGCTGATGCAATATTTGAAAAGCCACAATTTAATAGCCCCAGAGCAACATGGCTTTCGTCAAAAGCATTCGTGTAATACTAACCTATTAATTGCACGTAATAGCTGGACTGAAGCTGTTGATGATGGAGTTGGAGTCGATGTCATCTACCTGGACTTTTCAAAAGCGTTTGATCGTTTAGACCATCGAGTTCTCCTTCAGAAGCTTCGGAACTACGGCATTGGCCATCCAATCCTGAGTTGGATTAGCAATTTTCTACAAGAATGACGGCTAGTGGTGAGAGTCCGAGAATCATTTTCTCATGCAATCGACGTGACGTGTGGAGTACCACAAGGCTCGGTTCTTGGACCTCGTCCATTCTTGGTGTTCATTAACGATTTGGCGAGATCAATTACTTCCGATTTCTTATTTTTCGCTGATGATATCAAGATATGGCGAAGGATCAGAGGACCGGATGACCATGAACGGCTCCAGCACGATCTTAACACAGTGTCGAACTGGTCAGTTCAAAACGCTCTACCGTTCAACGTAGACAAATGTCGCGTACTACAATTACGCCATAGACATAACTACACCTACATACTTGGGACAAACGAATTGCAGAATAGCTCCCAGGAACGTGATCTTGGTGTGATCGTACAGAGCGACCTCAACTGTTCAAAACAGGCTGAGGTAGCTGCCAAAAGAGGCAACCAGCACGTCGGCATGCTGCGAAGGGCATTCGGGAGATTTGACCCATCAATCTTCCCAATGATGCTCAATTCCTACGTGCGCCCGCAAGTTGAGTACGCAATCCAAGCTTGGCAACCTTGGTTGAAACGCGACCTAGAAGCGATAGAGGCACCACAACGGAGAGCAACAAAGAACGTGATGGGCCTGCGGTATCACTCTTACCACCGAAGACTGAAGTTGCTGGGAATTTTCAGCGGACGTTATCGAAGGCTGCGCGGCGATCTCATATTAGCGTATCAGATATTGAGTGACCCCAACCACGTATGCCTCCATTTGCTGAAACTTAGCCACAATACGCAGCTCAGGGGTAACTGCTTAAAGTTGAAGGAACAATACAGCCGTCTAGAGTGTCGACGGAATTACTTTTCCCTTCGAGTTTGCAAACCTTGGAACGCACTCCCAGACTCAGTTGTATCCTCTCCTACATTGGATGTTTTCAAAAAACGATTAGATGTTGCTCTCAGCTCCCAACATTTTGTTACCCAAGCTCCTCTGTTGTGGATTACGCCAAGCATGTTTTCAACAGGACTAATGTATCAAATGGACCTAAGTGAGCGACCATATTTTATTTTCTCACTCCTTACCTCAACTATCACTGCGCCCCAGTGAGTTTCTGAATGTTTACGCGCGATATTTCTTTTTCATTTCACACTGATGTTAATTATCAAAGTGTTCATCTCAGCAGACGTTCGATAGATGACCCACACATATTTTAATTGCATCATATTCACCGCTACCATCCTACGGGACGTGTCAAGCACTTGCTTTTATCTCGTGATAAATCATTGTTCATTGTTCATTGTTCAGAAGTCAGCGCATGTTACAAAGGGTTCTCCTCTCAGCAGAGCAATTTCATCAATTTTATCCGTCATGTTTACAGGAACTGCTTAGTTATGTTACAGTTATCTGCTGCACTAGCTGTCCACTCCTTAGTGCTGCTTGACCTATCGTCGTAACTATATAGGGATGAATGCAAGCCACACCGTAACCTTCCAATAAAGGTAAATATGCAACGCCATTTAATTAACGCTGTTCTTATAAAAGCGATCGAAATAAATAGAAAGCACTCAAGTAAATGATTAGTTTTTTATTCTTGCCATGTAGAATCAGCAAATATGCATTCATGTTTTGTCCATCTTTAATTATTTTGTCAATTTACTTTGGCATTATGTAATTCCATGGGAAGTAACGGTATGAGATTATGCGGAAAAATTCACGGCCGATGAAACAAACAGGGCATAGATACCGCGTTCGCGGCTTTTCAGCTATCACACTTGTATATGAAAGACACAAACTACAATCCAACGTTGACTGAAAATTAGTCTAATATAAGTGAAAGTCACGATATTTTTCCTTTTAACCTTCTATATATCCCGCTTTCTATGTTGTTCCGTAGAAGTTACGAATAGGGGAAAATACTGCTATGTTGTTTAACGAACCCGCATTTGTTAATTTTGTTTATCGGCTCTATTACACAGCTGCCGAAGTGCGTCTTTTTACGTCCTGGACCCATGAGGATGCACGGAAATGTTGTGATCTGGTAGGTCTGCTAACTAATTTCTTTGTCACGTCTGTTTTTGAAAGTGCCATATGAACATAACCACGGTTTAATCGCATTTAATGCCAGCTTATTGCAAGATCACTACCATTATGGAACAAAGAAGGTTTCCGGAAATGTTTTGCCGGATTACCCATCGAAATAGAAGAAGGAGGCTTCATCACGCCGTACACAATTACAGTGAATACGAGCAACATCAAAAATTTCGCAAGAAATGCAAAAAGGGGCAGTAAATTCGCAATCATCAATCGGAAGCTCAATTTGAACGCACAAGACTGTGCCACTGTGACAGGGCCGGACTGGCGGAAGACTTTGGGCGACTTTAGTAAGTGTGTATAGAGCGTACAAACTACGTTTGCTCCTTTTCTGCTACAATTGTATATGTTTGCACAGAGACAACGTCTGCACATACTTTATCTCATGCTGGTTGGACGACTTAAGCTCCAGAAAATTAGTAGTTAAATCTTTCGAAATTAGCACTAGAATTGAGGAAGTAGAACAAGCATTTGTTACTAAGCAACTGGTAATTGAATAAATGTGCTTTTTACTGGACAAGACAGTTAACTGTGCAAAGTATACTGTTTCTTTTTACGTACTCAGTAACTGATTGGTACGCAGCTGCGGAATATCTTAGCGGTGCAACCGAAAGGAAAAGGAATATTTTCTATTCACTTTGTCAATAGGGCTGGCATTCGTACGGATACACCTCAAGTAAATGAAACATATCGCTAGATTCCCGATGAAAATATAATTTGCGTCGCACATTTCGGAAATCTGTGATAGCGGTTCCTGTTTTATTGTAATTAACTAAGCCTTTTATGTTTGGCAAAATGTGCGTAATTCCATCATATCTCTTCTGTTGCCCGGACCGCTTATATGATGTGTGCTCGATCTTACCCATTTAGTGACCAGTTACCCCGTGGAAATCAATGTCTACACTACGGTTGCTGATCAAAATGACATCAATTGTACGGCTGTGAGTCTAGTGGTGTATCAATGTAAATAAAACGGTGTGGATGGCGCAATAACATGTACACATATTGCATCTAACCTGCTGCACTCTTTTAGTGAGAAACAGGGCCCAGGTTTTCTTTAAAAATTCCTTAGAAAAAGCTTTGTTGGTGATTGTCTTGGTTATAACTACAATTATCATTACTTACCTGTCGCTCATTTTAGAGATCATTTATTAAGAGACAATATACATTTGAGCAAATATAACCCAGTTGTTGCACTAAATTAGCGGCTTAGTCTGGTGGCAATAAAATGCTACTGTTATCAGTCAAAGTATAAGTACCATAAAATTTTAATAGATTGGGAGACTTTGTAGTGGGTGGCATTTTAGACATCCACGTGTATCGCCGTTATGACTTAACGCTTAAGGCATCGCTCAAACAATACCCTCTGCGTAGTATGAAAAATCAAGTAGATGGACATAAAACTAAACGAAAGCATGGAAACCAATATATGACAGCTGTGATCTCCTCCTTTGCATCGTAATACACATTAACTAAAGGTAGGCGATGCACTACGGCCGTTGAGCTGCAAGATAACATACTCTTTAGTGCGTACATTAACGGCAACAATTTCATATATATTCGCCATATAGATTTATAACCAGCACATTGTCGGTAAAACTTGATGCATGCAAGGGCAAACAGGGCTAGCTGAAGCTAACGACCGGCTGATATACACAAGAAGAAACCGAGCCGTCAACCTGGGTTTAGTATAATCGGCTTGTGGTATGCAATATACGCATCTCCCAGGATGCAAATTTTGACTTCACCGTCTGGTGGCCTAAAGTCGGACACTACTGCACCAGTTATCAGTAGCGTAAAAATGCCGGGATATGTAACGGCAACAAGCCAACAGCGGGCTGTAGTAACTCCCCAAAGGAGATGAACATATTTGTATCGCAGTTGCATGCGCGCAGGGATGAACCCAAAAGCCATGCACTTCACACAACTCCTATACCCAGAGGGAACCGCGCACCTTGCTACCTACAACCGGGATGGAGTAGACAAGTGGGTTTCACTTTTGTCGGAATGGATGCACATAGTATTAACTCTGTTCGACACTAAAAGTAATTCCGCTGGCACTTCTGGCTTTTACAACCGTTGCTGATACCTTGTTACTGCCACACACGAGCAATTCTCCTCAAACACTCACAATCGAAGCTCCAGAGTCAGCACACTATATTAGCGGGTCAAAAATAGAGGCGAATGTGTTAATAAAGAAATGAACAGTTGTGTTCCTACATGGTGGTTATAAAAACATACAAGAATAACAAACGCATTGAGTAAAAATGAGCAAGGACTAGTTATAAATAGTATTCAGTCTACATTACTGGGTGCGCCGTTTAGGAAGAGTATTGATCACGAGATTACGAAAGAGCGACCGCCGGGGCTTAACTTACACAGCACATGCAAGGGCGAGTCCTAATTGCTCACGACTAAAGCAGGCACAGACACACAATTGTGCTATGCTTTGAAAGCGAATTTCGTTGTGTTTTATGTGTTTCTTGTAATTTAACCAAATGCTGAGGGCAACATTTTGACAAATTCTATAGTGAAGCTTGCAATATTGGATAGATATACGTCTGTTCGAAATGATTTAAAATATTGATAGCATGGGTGGCTTGTTCAGTTGTTGTGGTGTTATCCGTGCAGGGCAACTTCACTGTAAATGTTTCTTCATTTTTCAAGTTGGCATCTTCAGCGCAGGATGGATAGCCTGCAGGTGGCAGTAGCTAGTATAAAACAAACCAAATGATGGATACCGTCAGCAAGCACACCGTTCCTTATGTAATCACACTGGGGTGTTAAGATTTTCTCGTTCGATTTGAAAATGTGTGTTCTGCAAATATGCTCAAGTCATTGCCGTTGGTTGCGCAAAGGTTGTTGCGACGTCGTTAAGAAAATCGCAACCGGGTTGGAGTAAACGAGGTGCTTGAGAAGTCTGGGCTCACATGGACCAATCTGTTCATTAGCTGGGTATTGGATTAGTTTCTTTCGCACAATAGTTGTTGAATCACTTGAGCTCTTTCGGTCTCAGCAAATAGTAAACTTACAACTGGCCTCGCAACTCATTTTGACATATGTTTAAATGACCTCCAAGGTCCTGTTGCTGTATTTTCCGGTAAACATAGAGCATTAACTTGTGCGTCTCACGACGCGTGCTTAAAAGTAAGCACAAGACAAACGGTGAACATAACCACCTTCAGCATGTTTTCCTAGCAAAGTGTTCTATCACAAACTATTGACAGGGGCAAAAGGATGGAAACGAAACAATTATTTCCGCTTGTGTTGCAGCATTTGCGGTTTCGCTAGTGATAATTTTAGAGAGATGTGTGCAATAAAATTCTGGGTATCCAATAAGCAGATGTGTTAATTATTGTAGGAAGCCCCTACGAGAGGTTATTTAAACAACAACACCGATCTCTGCCTAATAAACGACGGCTGCGACTGGTACGTGTCGGTGAGCTTTGGTGATTATAGTGCTGATTTATTTGTGCTTTGCCGAGTGCGGAGACCATAATTTCTATGTTGCGTACATACGATTTTAACTGTTGGTTAGCTTGCTGCTAGCTTGGATCAAAAAACTGCCATATTATTGTTGTTGTAATAATTACATCCCAATTCAAGAAATTGCAGACGGGCGCCCATGAACAATTGCTTTCAGCATACGTCTTTATTAAATGCTTTTTATTAATATAAATTTTGAACACTGCATACCCTTCAACCAATTCCGTAAAGCAAGAAGAAGACCTGGGCGGAGCAATATTAACATTTCGATTGCTCTCCTCAGTCGCTACGCAGTACAGGCGGAACAAAATACGCATTAAATACAGTCCGCACTAAGGAACCCACTTAAACAGATAAAACGAAGGTGAATGACATAATCAAGCCGAAAGCAACCTAGTTGATTGCCTCAGCTGTTTCTGAGCACAGAGCGCAAGACTGTTTAAACTTACTGGTAGGAGCTCGCCAATTGCAAACAACATCGGGCTCCAGTTGCGCAATAGCACCTTGAATGAATCGATTGAGTTCACTTGGGACAAGTCGTCATTCGTTGGTTGGTGACAGACGAGGCGGGGTTCCGTTTCATACCTTAGTCCATTCCGCCTTGGTGCGACGGCAACTGTCTTAGACATAGTAAGAAGTGTTCTGCAACCCTTTGATCCAGCCAGCGACCAGTTTTGCCAATGTGTCACCGCCACTGCAAGTGAACTGGTAGATAAGGTTAGAGACCGAACTGATTGGCGAGCTACTCGGACTGCTTTGGAGAGGAATACTTCGTGTAATGTCGATAAGTAATAGTTGGGCGGTAGAGTACGTGCGCATTATAGCGGACCTGAGCTTTCGACCATCATCATTTGACGCACATTGCCCTTGAAGGATAAGAACAAATAATCATCCTTCTTTTCCTCTGTTTGTACTGGCAGCTACTCATTGGAGGGTCTGCTATGAATCTGAATGAATTTAGCTGGAAGAAGAGTCCGGTATAAAAGCTTTTCTTCCGCCTTGCCAAATTCCCTACTGCACATTCGACTGGCCCAGTCGATGAGAGCTTTTGCGAGTCTGCACTGTATGCGAATGGGGCGAACCTGAAAAACATAGGTATTGCATCCAAGTCGCTTTTCGCTACGCTATGCGCTTCAGTGTGCCATCAGTCCTTCTCTTGATGCGCAAGTCCAGCAACGCCAGTTTGTCTTCAAATTATATTACTTAATGTTTGAGCTGCAAGCAGAGGTATTTAAAAGCGGAACCGTTTAGATACAATGCCTTACATATTTTCTTAAGTATATGCAATTAGGTGAAACAAACACATTAAATCAACCTAGCTATAGCAATATCATTCTAAGTACTAAGTTATTTTGTATGCGTTGTGGTGACATCCGTTTAAGTGCTTCAAGTACGTATGGCCGGACGTGCCGAGGTGTACCCACTAATAATATTTTGTGCCGGCGAAGTGAGTGCGGTGTACTTTATAATTACCACGGTCAAACTAGCTACCTTTTTCTGCCTTTTAAACAGACGAAGGTGTAATTTTGCCTGCTCAGGAATATATTCACAAATGATGTACTTGAATGGGAATTTTGTTAATTAATACCTTTCCTAAACGTTACTGCGCGCAGGTCATTGGCATTATACGAAAGGCATCTCCGTTCCTAAAACCAGTCGGTTGTCAACACGAAATAACGACGTCCGAAATTGCACAAATTTACCACCACCGATTTGAAGTTAATATGTCGATGCCTGACACCAATGACCGCCCTGTAACCGAGGCTGTCGTACAACAACTGCATTGGATACAACGTATACTGAAAATCGAGCGAAGCAGTTGCTTACCTATCAGTGTCCCCACGTATGATTCCGAAAGCAAAATCTGGAGTGAGATAAATGTTTACAAAGCACAAATTAACTTTACATACGTTAACGGCATCATGTATACATGCTTAGTCTATTAAGTCTTACACAAGTTAATTATTTAGCAGTAAATTTGATGGCCACGTGGTGCATTACATATATTATATTTAATAGGCTTCACAGAAGGCAATGCAAGTTCAGTCTGCACAGTATACTACATACCTTTAACAATCTGCACGCACTGTGCTAAGGAGCGCTGTTAAGGTCTTCAAACTTTTGGTGTAAATTAACCCGATCAATTGCACTACCACTGTCGGTTTGCCCATGTGCTTAACAGTTCTACTGAGAACGAGCTAAAAAGACTGTTTACATCTAGCCGCGCTTCCTTGATGCTTAAATGCTTTTCCACAATTTGTAGAAATCGATTTTTATTGCTTAGACCCCAACTTGATGGTTATACAACAGACGCAGATTACTACTTGGTCTACTATCCACCAGTACCGCTTAATATTTTAAGCTGACGCTAACCAACAAGCTGCACACATTACCGTGTGTAGTCCGCGTTCGATTGTCCGGATAACTAGGTGTCCAAGCTGTTTGGCTTACACATATCTTATGTCGTATTTTTCCGAAATACCGTATATTTCAGAATAGAGACCGAAGATTACTGGATAATTGTTCTTAACTGTGAAATTGGGACGGTTTATAAGTAGGCTAAACGCAAGCTGAGTAACCCACACCCAAAAGTTACTCAGACAGTTACTGCATACCTCTGCCGCTATTTTCCTCATCGCCACCTGCTAGTGATTGACGACATCCCAGACGGAGTTTTGAAGTCCCTCAAATTTTTCATGCAGTGTCTACGCAGCACCAAGGGCAGCGTAGACACAAATGGGCACGTTATATTAGCAGACCACGTTCTCGATATATTGCACATTTGACGTTCGCGATGGATAGCAGTAACAAAATCCTACGGGATACTACAGAATCAAATACCCCCTGACCTTGAACTTTACTCTAACCTACTGTTCTAATGTAGTCCATGTGCAGGAGCGTCTGGAGTATTCTTGGGGACCTGTCCAACACATCATGTCAAATTACTCTATAGTGTCTGCTTTCTTACTTGTTTCATGTGACTTAACACATAATAACTACAATGTCCGCTGCGGTAAAATTCTGTTCTGAAAGCTCTACGTCCCAGTAACCGCGATTAAATCACAATACAGTCAGCAAAACTGACCAATAATAGAGCAGATTTTGTATGGACACACTCAAGTCATATCAGGTAATGTCAACGTCAAACTCGTGGAGAAAGCACTATTTTCTTTTTGCTTAATTTTTAGGGTCGACTTTTATAGGGACTTAGACTTTGGACAAATTTGAGGTTTCGATGTTTTACTGACGGCCTACCTATTGACTGGCTTGTATTCGCGAATATACGGGACTAGAAGGTGTAGGTCATTAAAGTTTGCTCACTGTCTTGTTTTGGGAACGCTTCGTTGCCGGTATGTGCTTAGGGCTCTCAATTGAATATCTCTAACCTACGGATATTTGCCCCATTGTTTCCCAAGCTACTTCGTTCGCAAGGTTCTGTAACTCAGGGAGATCTGACTCGTTTCCGCGTCCTTGAACCACCGGCTTAGTGCCCCTACGCGTTCCCACAATTGCTCATTGTGCGCTGATCATCCTATGGCCATCCAAAGATCAGCATTCTTTGTGCAACTAAACTGGCCCGGGTCGACATCGGTGAGGCAAGGATTTTCGTCGTCATTGTTCAACTAGGCTAGATGATGTTAAATACTGCCACTTGCTGCAATTCCGAAACACGCACTTTAGCTAATAGGCACGACCTCAAAACTAAACGAAGAAAAAGGGCAGAGGAAACTGTCCAAAATAATTTGGTAACCGCAGCCAAATTGGGCTGTACCAATTCGGCAGATCATAGTCATGTTTATAGATCGCATAAAGACCTCCGACTTCTAGAATTAGTAGACCATATATTAAGGTTAGTTGACCCCATAGATTTGGCAGATCCCCTGGATGGCTGTTTGTCAAGTATTGACCTTAGGATGTGCAGGAACGTTCAAGAGCGACGCGAGAATCGGTAACAACTGCTTAGCGCAAAACACCGGAAATTCCGGGACCTTCTTAATTGCTCCCGGAAAACTCCCCTCCTGCGGTGAGACCTGTAAGCAGATCGCTTGGGAGTGACCTGTATTCTCCTGGACGGTGTCCGAATCTTGTCAGTCCATCGCTTCAACTGAAGTGCGTGAGAAACCGGCCAAGTGGTCTGATGGCCATTTTCTTTGTTGCGCTGACAGCAACCGACCACACGTTCTTTTGGATGGTTAAAGCTTGCCACCAACAAATCAAACGAAAGCGCAGCATGCTTTACAGCCTCCGGTTTGCACAGCTTTGGTCGCTACTGGATTGTATAGTGAAAACAGGTCGGCCTCTCCTCGATCACTTCTAAAATCACATCAGTGAACTTGCTTTGGATCGTGCCAGGTGTCAAAAATGCAGGACCTCTCCGATAGTCCCGCCCTTGCATTGTCTGCCTATATAAAATGAAAACCGCAATAGTCGGGAGAAGAGAGTTCGAAGCCAATTTGCAACGGCTATTATTTAACACTGCACGGTACAACAACGGCATCCTTTTCACGGCAGCACAGCAAACTAGCCGTAGATTTTGGACTTATTGTTCACTATCGAGGAGTTCATGGTCCGTGGGATAGATGTGCGTAGTTCTTTTATTCGAAGCAATTACGGGATTACGCGGTTTAAGTAAATGCTCGATCCAATATATTCCGATGCAGACCTCAACTGAATGACATCTGATAAGCATTGCTCCGTTTGTCCGTGTACGTTGCAAGTGCTAGTTCTACATTGCGTCCAGAGATACAGGGTAACTTTCGAACAATATTTCATGTCGCTAGTCGAAAAGACACCAAAGCCAAATGCGCAACATCGTCTCAGCAAACTAAAATAGTTATGAGCAGCTGAACAGTAATACATTGGACTTTACAAGATCAAAATGGCGCTTACAAAATCACTACTAGTTCAGAGGACTGGGAAGCCTATGTAGCTCAACGCAGCTAAGCTGTGAAGTTGGTATGATAGAATAAGGCACAGCACCGACAGGAGTTAGCTCAACGATTCTAGTAAAACCGGAAGCTACCTTACAACCAAGCGATTGCACTTAGTAAAGTGCAGGGCGAAATCCCGCAGCGCTCTGCGGTTGGTTGTTATATACGTACAGAAAGAGAGGTGGCTAACGTCTTAAAAGCATATTATTTACCTACCTTCCAAAGTTTAGAAAGCCCCAAACTCATAACGGATCCTGCAACTTCACCATTAGTTATATTCAGTCATACACCCATTGCAGATAGGCGCTACAACTACTATCTTTGAGTACCCACAACTCTCCTGGATTGGATTAAGTTTACCCGACTGCAATGTAGGTAACAACCATGCACCTAGATAACTCGGCGTTCCTCCTGCGAACTTGAGCTTTGTTCTGATACGCTTGCTTCAATTTACGAAAGCCTACGTACATCAGTCATAAAGTAGGCCTGTCGCGTACCCTGTTACCACTCGTCTTTGACCCATGCAGCGTTTCAGAAACCCAACTGCAGGATATCTCAGTTTACTCAGTCTGATATCCTCTTTTAAATGCTGAAACAACTTCTGCTAGCCATTGACGCAGAAACAAGTGCAGTCGGTTTGGCTGGCGTTGGAGTAGCACTAAGTAGTAAAGTCGAAGCTGCGTTGCACGAATGTTTTCTAGTTAACAGTCGTGTATACTCAAATCGACTTCACGAATCTGGTGGTGTCAACAAGCGTAGCAATTAAACACGTTACCTGGTTACCGTTTCAGCCTACGCCACGACTGCACGCAGCAACAAATTAGTCAAGAAAGTTTTTTACCGCAAACTTCACTTTCTCGAGTATACTGAGCAATAAATATATACTGATTAAGAACCGCTTTACAAGCCACATTAAATAAGCTGTTGCGTTATCGAAAACGTCAATTTATTTATCGTATATAATGCCTTAGTCCTGCAATATTCGTGTTTCCATAGCTTCAATCGACGAAACAAAATAAATCAAAGGTATTTCTCTGGTCTGGGAGGGAGAGTAGTATCAAGTATGCGAAAGTAAGTGGCGGAATGCGCCATCCATCCGACTTTTAAATACGGCTCGCTTGCGCGCAGAAACAAATGATTCAGAGGATAGCCTTCCATGGTAGACATACACGAATAAACAAAACATTTCTACTGTATGCCAGACGGCTGCACACTTCTTCTAATTTCAGGGGATGGCCTCGCAGCTCAGCCTTACTGCTGTGCTGCAGTAGCGAGCGATACGCACGCCTTGGATTTCGTAAAAGCATATACGCAATACTCAAATCGTCTCGTGGCTGCCGATATCGCGCTGTGAATCATCTCAAACGTTTCAGCGTCCGTATGATTGAAAGGTGACGCATTTGAATGAGGCATTTATTTGCCTGATGTTGAGGTTATTCAAGTGAAATATGGTCGTGCTTCAGCGCAGGTTGCTTAGCTTACATAGCGTATCCGAAATGCAGGCAAATGTACGCATTCGGTATGCTTCTGCGAATGTAAGTACATGACTCTCCGGACATCCGTTGTAGCAAGTCCACATGCCGGTTACCAGTTTCCCTTGCCTACGCGAATTGTTTGTAGCAATCAAATTTAGCGCGAACAAGCGCGTCATATCCGCGGGCGACGGAGGATCGCAGCAATACTTGTGTTCCTAAGGTGTAGGATTAGGTACCCTTGCGTCGTATGGTGAGTAACTCATTTTT